CCAGCCCAGCCTCCGAGCCCGTCCTAGGGCCTCGCTCCCCAGGACCCGTCGCTGCGGGCGGATCAAAGACCCTCCCTCTTGTGCACGCACACGTCGCACACACGCCAACCTGCAGGGATAGGAAACGGCGGTGTACTTACCAGGCTCCTTGCCCAGCGGCGGGGCCACCGGCGCTCCCTCCGCCGTGGCTGGTAGGCGCCCTGGCCTTCGCTGTCAGACGGGCGTGCATCTTCCTCTCCTTTCCCAGCCTCCCTCGCTGGTTCGCTGGCAGATCGCAGTTCTTGCTCGTGTCCCTGACGGCGCGTCCCTGGGAGGGTGGTGCCCGCTAACTGCGTCTCTCCCGCAGCCAGGAGCCCGTGACGGCGGCCGGCTCCTGCCTGGCCGGGCTGCTGCCCGAGCTGCGGCACGTGCTGCTGTGGATGGCCAACGCCGTGGAGCTCCTGTACTTCGTGCAGCAGCAGGGCCCCGTGTACATGCAGGGCCTGGAGCAGGGGCCCGACGCCACAGGTAGGCTGCGCGGGCGGTGGCCGCGCCGTCTCGGGACAGACGTCTGTCGGGCTTCCTGAGCGCAAGTGGCGCTGGCGGTCGGGCTCCCCTGTGCCTGTGCCCCGGCGCACGCACTGTCTGCCGTTCACGGCCGCCCCGCTGGTCTCGGGGAGGCCTGGGGGACACAGGCCCTCAGCGGCTTCAGAGAGAAGGCGGGAGCGCGCAGAGCTGTGCGGGGCACGCCGAGCTCAGAGCCTAACGCGGGACGAGGTGCTCGGGGTTTGTGTCAAGTGCTGAGAACGCTGCGAGGGTGACGGGGAGGGCTCAGGGGAAGGTGGCGTGGGCTGCGCCCCAAGGCTCGTGGGCCTTCACTCGTGTGTCTGAGGAGGACTGTGCGGGGCCTGGCCGGAGCCCAGCAGGAGCGGCAGGACCGTCTGCGGTGGGACGGGTGACAGCCGCCCCCAGGGGCTGGGGCCGCAGCCAGTGTGGACGGGCTGGTCTGCCCACACAGCCTCTCCTCGGCCTGGGCAAAAACAAGGCTCACGCCTTCCCTGGCGTCAGGGGGACCTCGGCCTGTCCCGGCTGCACCACAACTGGAGGGGCCCCTGCAGGGATGGCCTGGTGGCCCTGCATGTGGGGGCCTGGGCTGCAGCCATGAGGTGCACTGGGGCTGGGAGGGGACCAGGGAGGAGGATGGGGTTGGCCGGGGCTCCCCGTGAACTGGGCCAGCCGGACACGGCACAGCGTCTGCGTGTGCTCAGCTGTGTCTCCCGAGAGGAAATAACCTGAAAAACAGTCCGCTGACTGGCCCGTCCGCAGCGGGTGGGGGCTGTGGGGGCGTCGGCGCGGCCCTGGGTCTACAGGCTACTTCCTGGCCCCCCTTCGTGTGACGTGCACCTGCCCTGCCCACGCCTGCCCCGCCAGGCCCTCCCCTTGCAGCGAGACCTCCCCTGTGCCCACCTGGCCTCCGGCCACCTCCCTCCAACCCCGCGGGTCCCCTCGAGGCCCCCAGCACCTGGTCGCGGGCGCTGCAGCGGGCCCTGCAGGGAGGCTCCCCTGGACTCGGCCTCGGCCCGCGAGCGCCTGGGCCCCTGCCTGCTCCGTGTGTGGCCTGCGTGATGGCAGGCCGGGCTGTGCTCGGGAGCCCGTGGTTCTGGCTGCCGCAGGAAGAGTCAGCTGGGCCCGTGACTCAGGCTCAGCGTCCGTGGGACAGTCGCCCCGTGGGAGCCGCAGTCCTGGGCCCCGGGGCGGCCTCACGGCTGCGCGCTGTGTGGGCCGCGTCCGGCTTTCTCCGGGGAAGCTGGGGCGACGGCACTGCCTGCTTAGCTGCCCCTCCCGCCTCAGAGGAAGGTCGTTTGGTGGGGAGCCCGGCTGCGAGTAGCCCGGTGGAGGCCGGGAGAGGGTCGCCTCTGCGCACCCCGGGGACCAGGTGGCTGCGGGAAGCAGACAGTGTCCCGAGCGGTGGAGGCTCTGGAGAGCTCAGAGGAAAATTAGCGTCAGAGGGCGAAGGCAAGGTCAGGCGGCCTCGGCCTCCGGCCCCAGCGGAAGCGCCTGTGGGAAGAACTCTGAGCAGAGACGTCCTGTCCTGGGAGCTGGGACGTCACTGTCGTTCCCACAGTCTGTGCGAGGCTCTTCCCCAGGAGCCCTCATCCCCACAGGCCGGGGAGCAGCCGCCGGGGGTGTTGTGTCACCCACTCAAATCCTCCTGGAAGTCTTTGCGGCTTTGCCCAGCGCCTGTCGATCTGGGGGCTCCTCAGGTGCTCAGAGGGGGGCCTCCGTCCTGGGCCTTGGGAACCAGCACTGGAGGGAGGGACGGGGCCTTGATGCTCAGAACAGCTCACAACGGCTCGAGGGGTGCGAAGCCCAGCAGAGCCCGCCGCACAGGCGCGTGTGCAGGTTTCAGTGACGGCAGGGGCCCCGGGGGCGTCTGCTGGGAGCTGTCGTGTTGTGCTCAGTGGGTACCGCTGCCTCCACCTCCGGCTGGAGCCCCAGGCACACGGGAAGGGGGTGGGCTGGCAGCGAGGCGGCCTGCGGCTGGACCCCGCCCTCCAAGTGGGGCCTGCAGCTGGCTTCTCGGCGCCCGCTGGCTCAAGTGGCTGTGAAACACGTCTGTTCTGCCTGTGCTCCGGGCAGCAGCGGCCGCTGCGAGTCTGAGGCCTGAGCCCCTGGAGGACAAACATGGCAGCCGGCAGCCTCTTAGAGCCTCTTGCTGCCCCCAATCTGGGCCCCTCACGCTGCCTGGGGAGGCTGAGGAGCACCCGGACCCCGCCAGGTCCCCAGCGAGACCGGAAGGCCCGGCCTCGGGGAGACCCCTGGGGGCAGGAGGCCTAGCCCTCGAAGGGGAAGGGCCGAGTGTCCAGGCATGGGCAGGGCGGGCCTCTGGGGGCGCGGCCTGTGCTCCTGGGAGGCCCGGCTGCCAGGGGAGCCCCTGTGGTAACTGAGCCACGTGTCCACAGGCTCCACGGAGTCCGTGTTCTCCTGCGCGCTCTCGGCCAGCGAGGAGGCCATGGCGGAGCTGGAGGAGGTGATCCTGTACGCCTTCCAGCAGTGCGTGTACTACGTCTCCAAGGTGCGCCTCCGCTCCGCTCCCTCCTCAGGGCCCGGGCCTGGGGAGCCACCTGCGTGTCCCACCTCACTGGCACCCACCCTCCCCTGCCCCCTCCCCCTCGATGCTCAGGGCGTCTGTGGGCCCTTTGCTGAATCCTTTGTGCCCCCCGGTCGATGTCACCTGCACCTTCCACCGGAGCTTGTACTGAGCCCCCAGAGGCCCAGGCAGCTGTGGGAGCCCCGGGGAACACCCCACGCACCGCCCCCGAGGCCTGTGCCCTGGCCCTGCCAACGCTGCTGGTGTCTTCTCCCCCCAGGCCCTGTACGTCTGCCTCCCGGCCCTGCTGGAGTGCCCCCCTTTCCAGACGGAGCCCCGGGAGAGCTGGTGCCAGGCCCCCCAGCTGCCCGAGGAGCTGCGCCGCGTCGTGTCCATCTACCAGGCCGCGCTGGACCTCCTGCGGCAGGCCCAGGTGCACCCCGAGATTGTGTCCCAGGTGCTGGCCTACCTCTTCTTCTTCTCCAGCACCCTGCTCTTCAACCAGCTCCTGGACAAGGGTGAGGCTGGGCGGGGCTGCGCTCCTGTGAGAGACGCGTGTCCTCCCGGAGCGGCAGGCCGAGCCCTCGGGGCGTCCTGACCCGGGGTCTGTGCCAATGTGATGCGATGCGCAGGGGTTCCGCAGGGAGAGGCCCGGGAGCAGGGAGTCCGCACAGGGTGTCTCGTAGGGGCAGGCGCTCTGTCAGTGTCGGCGTGGGGCCCCTCAGGCCTTTCCTGGTTCCCTGTGTCCCCAGCAGCCCCCAGCCCCTGGGAAACAGGAGGGAACAGGCTGAGAGAAGTGAAGTAATCTTGTCTCTACCTCCCTGCCCCCCAAAGTCCTCACTGCAGACATTCCTCTGTTGCCCTGCCCGGAGGCTCAGGGGCGCTGTGGGCACGGGGACATGAACGCAGGGACAGGCCCCAGCACTGGGGTCACTGTCGTGGGCTTCCCAGGCTCAGCGGGGTCTGGGCAGGGCCTGGGTGGGAGCATGGGGCTCGCTGTAGACTTGGACCGCGTCCCTTCCATGACTGTCACAGCCCCTCCCTCCGTCTTCACCCCCCACCTCCCGTGCTCACCCCGCCCCTCCAGAGGGCCCACCCCAGGCTAGTGCCTTAGAACCCATGTGGGGCTCACATCTGTCCTCGGAGGCCCGGAGGGGGGCGGCCAGGCACAGGGACCAGCTGGGGCCTGGCTCCCTCTGGGGCGGGGTGGCAGCCCGGGCCTCACCCCCCGCTCTCCCTCCCCAGGCCCCTCTCTGAGTTGCTTCCACTGGCCCCGGGGCGTGCAGGCCTGTGCCCGCCTGCAGCAGCTCCTGGACTGGACCAGGGGCGCGGGCTTCGGGGAGGCCGGGGAGCACTTCTTCCGGAAGCTGTCCTGCACCCTCAACCTGCTGGCCACTCCCCGCGCCCAGCTCATCCAGGTAGGAGAGCGTGGAGAGAGCGAGGGGCAGTCAGCAGGTGGTTGGGGCCCTGTGTTGTCACTGAGGCACCAGCCCGAGGACCAGGCGGGGGTGGGGGGGTAGCGGGGTAGTGGGTGGGGAACCTGGCTTCTGGGCCTCAGAGTTGTTTCCGTCCCACAGCCGATCCCACCTGTGAGCAGGAAAACGGCCGCAAAATGTCTGTGGGCTGGGTCTGCAGGGTCTGGACCCTGACCTGCCACAGACAACGTGACCCCACATGGCGGGGGGCAGGGGGGGCTCTGCAGAGGGGACTGACGCTAAGGACCCTGAGATGGGAGAGTGCCCTGGGTTAGCCATGCGCTCCATTTAATCGCACGAGCCCTTCCGACGTCAGCGATGAGAGACAGGACAGAGGAAAACAAGGGACTTGACCCGCGCTGCTGGCTCTGGAGATGGAGGCGGGGCGGCGGCCCGCAGTGCCTCCCAGAGCTGGGGAGGGCCGTGCCCCCACAGGCACTGCATTCTGACCACCCTGCCCTGGAACCTCCGGAAGGAACGCAGTCCCGCCGGCCTGGATTTGAGCCCAGAGTGACCCCCAAAAGTGTAAGAGTGTACATTCCTGTTGCCTTAACTGCTACCTAGTGGTCATCTGTTACAGCAGCAACTGGAAACTAATGCATCACCTCACCCTCCTCCCCACCAGCTGCCTGACAAACTGTCACAGATCATCCATGAAGCCAGACCAGTGGTGCTGCCTGCCTGCCTGGCATCACCCTAACGCGTCTCCGGAGTGACCGTGAGCGTGTGTACAGGCCGCCGGGAGGGCATGTCTGAACCGAGGCGGTAATGTGGCTGTGGGCCATCTCCAGGCCAAACCCTGAGCTGCCGCCAGCACAGCCAGCACAGCATGATGCCCGTGCGGGGACGGCGGGCATTTCAGCTTGGTATAAAAGTGGAACAATCCACGTCTACCCAAAGATCAAGACCTAGAAGCCTCAAGAGGCACCCATCCTGCTGCTAGGAGGGGCACAGCTGCGCCTACGGAGCGCCTGCGAGTGCGGCGGCTGGCACGCCACAGCCATCGGTTTAAAGGCCCAGAAAGCCCCGGAGCCACGGGGACCGAGGCAACCACAAAGCTGTTCTGCTGTGGCTTTTCCTCGGGGGCATTTGCCTCATCGGGGGCCAGGGCCTGTGTGAGATAGAAATCTAGGCTTCGTCCAGATGGGCCAGAGCTGGGGGCGTTCAGAGCAGCCTGGCCGTCTACAGCGAGGGAGACAAACGTGTGACCCTTGAGGAGCCTGAGAGGAATGGTGCTTCCCCCTCATGACATTTGACAAAATTGTGAAGCTCCAGGGTGTGGGCTGGGAAGGGCTTTAAACTGAGCAAACACTCTGAAAAGCCAAGTGGAACTGGTGGTAGTTTGACCACTGGGTCAGGGTGATCAGTGACGATGAAGATGCATATACTAAACTGGTGGGTGCAGTTAAAGCAGTGCCAACAGGCAAAACAATAGCCTTAAGGACACATGTTAGAAAGCAGGGAAGGCTGGGCGATCACCACGAAGCAAGAAAAAGAAAAACAAGTCAAACCCAGAGCAGGTAGAAGGAACTCTTAGCCAAAATCAGTGAAATAGCAGACAGACCTGTAAGAGCAGCATGAGGGGAGAGCGGTGTGCCGGCCACGTGAGGCACCTGCTGCACAGCCCCCAGCAGGTGCGTCACTGCTCCAGGCAGCCTGCCAACTGCAGAGCGCGCCGTAGGTGGGGGGAGCAGCCCCCGAGGAGCACTGCTGTGGTTCCCACGGTGCAGGAGGGGCGGAGGCAGAGGTGGGGCATGAGGTCGGAGAGACAGGTCGGCTGGCAGACTTGCCCGTGCAGGGCCAGGTGACGTGTTTCAGGCTCTGCGGGCCACAGACATCGAAGTCCCAACTTATTCTCTTTGAAGCCCTTTAGAAACGGGAGCTGCACTCAGCCGGAGGGCTGTGCACTCGCAGCTGCAGGCCCCCATTGGCCAGACTGTCCAGGGAGAAGAAACCCTTCAAAAAGCCACGCATGTCCTCACAAAGATAAACGCAGCACCACCGCGAACACCAGCAGGCTCTGTAAGAAAGAGAATAGAAAGGACCCTTGGACATTAAAGTCCTAGCAGCAGAGCTGGAAGATGAAGTTGAGGAAATCACCCGGAAAGTAGAGCAAGGAGCTGAAGCGGGGCGCTCGGTGCCCGCAGCTGGAGAAACAGCTCAGGGCGGCGGGGATTCTAGGAGCTGGGAAATCAGCAAGAACCACCCCCGGCCAACTGCTGTCCTGAGCTGGTGTGTGGCCTGGGGTGTTAGCAAGAGGACAGCGTGGACACTGGATGACCACAGCCTGGGCCTCTTGCTGTTGGCAGTAAAATCGAGCAAGTGAGCGAGAGAGCGAGCAAGGAAGAAAGGCAAATGAAAGGACCAACGTTCCAACAGTAGGAGTCCAGGAAGAGTTGAGAAAACAGTGGCCCAGGAGCAAACACAGGCGAGGACAGCCCAGCCCGCAGCCTTGCACCAGCCCACATGTGGTCCCAGCACGTGGCCCCCGCGTGGAGCCAGAACAGTGGACAGAGAAACCCGCCAGCTTCGGAGAGGAACACGACTCACCAGCGGCACCGCCTGCGACCCCGAGCTGACCCCTGCATGTGGGCCCAAGGCCTGCGTGCTGGCTGGGGACACGCCTTTTGCCTGTGCCCCCGAGGTCTCAGAGGCAGACCACCCCTGGGGGTGGGTCCTGCTGGTGCCTGCTGGGCCCTGACCTCGAGCGCCTGCCTCCTGTCCCTTAGATGAGCTGGGAAAGCCTGCAGGCCGCATTCCCTGCCCTGAGCCCCGCGCAGCTGCACCGGCTCCTGACTCAGTACCAGCTGGCCTCGGCCATGGGCCCCATGAGCGTCTGGGAGCCGGGCGCCCAGGACCGCCCCGAGGCCTTCGACTCAGGTGAGCCCCTCCTTGTCAGGACCGCTGGGGGTGGGCCCTCCGGGGGGCCTTCCCCGGAGGAGCCCGCAGAGCCTCTGGCGCCTCCGCCCGGCCGTCTTCCTCCTCGGTGCCCTGCCCTGTCCCCCACTGGGGGCCTCCACAGCTGGGGGGTCAAGGAGCCCACCGTCCATGGCTCAGGCCAAAGGTGCCCCCTGCCCCTCCTGGAGCCCGAGCATGGGCCTCACCCAGTGCCCAGCCCAGGAAGAGAGCAGCCCACATGCTGGGCACTGCTGCACCACCCGTGGATTGTTCCGATCACGTATGTTCACACACGGTGCACATGACGCACCTATGTGTGGTTTTATAGATTAGACCTTAGAGATAGATGTGCGCTTCATTAGCATTATCTATGTCGTAACAAGGACGGAGGGAAGGACGGTGGAGGACACGATACAGTGGGCGCGCGCCCTGCTTACCTCGGGTGGGCGTGGAGGCAGCGACCATCTCCGAGCAGGGCTGCCGGCTCCATGGGACGCGTTTGTCCCATTTTCTGGTTCACGGCCAAGGCCCGTGTTGGAGCAGAGCCTTCCTGCTGGAAGGGGCTCATGTTCAGTCCAGGGCAGCGTGCACAGGGCCTCTCGATCCCGGTGCCGCGGGGGCTGCGGGCAGCATGGCCCGGAGGCCGGTGGGAGCAGGTGTCAGCCAGGGCTGCCGCCTTGCAGGCTGATGCTCAGCTCCCGGAGGCAGCTGGTGGGGTGCAGGCTGGGGGTGTGGCCAAAGCTCCAGGGGGCGGGGCCTTGTTCATCCTGGGCGGTCACTGGGATCCAGAAGGAACCAGAGTGCGGTTTGGGTGGTCACCCTGCCCGGCCCCTCCCCACTGTCCCGGCAGGTCAGTCTGCGGGCCCCGGGCCCCATTGGGGAGGCGGGCGGCCCCGTGGGTGAGGCATCGGTGCTGTCCCCACAGAGGACGTGCTGGAGTCCTACGAGAACCCCCCGCCCATCGTCCTGCCCAGCGAGGGCTTCCAGGTGGACCTGGAGGCGGACTGCCCGGACGACAGCATCTACCAGCACCTGCTCTACCTGCGCCACTTCCTGTGGGGCCTGCGGAGCAAGCCCGGCGCCCGCGGGGGCGCCCAGCCCCAGGTCCCCGAGGTACCGCCGGTTGCCGGTCTGGGT